AAGTAGCAGGATTGTCATAGGATTATCATAATGAACATCCGTGTGCCCTTCATTCGACTTCAACAAATGGCTAGTCTGTTTTTATCTAGTCCATTCTCTCTGTTGCCAACAGGGTTTTTTTTTTCTGCCCCACTGGATTATTTTAAAGTAAATCCCAGACATCATATAATCTTATTCATAAATACTTAAATATGGGGACCAGAGGTGGCATGGTGGTTAAGGCACTGGATTCCTACATGGACAACCGCAGTTCAAGTTCCAGACCCGGTAGCTTGAAAATCACACCAGGCATGTGTGGTTGCATGTCCAAAATCCCAAGAGGAGAGTGGAGGAGAAGGGATTGCAGCATAGCCATTCCCCCGGGATGTGATTTCTCACTTTCCCTCTCTATTTCTCTATCCAGTGAGCATGCATACCTACGGCAAAACATCTTTTTTAAAAAATTAAGTACGTGTTTCTAAAATAAGAGACTTTTATGTTATATATTTTAAACTATAATATTTGTTAAAGTATAACATATAAAGTGTACACTATTACATATACAGCTGTACCTCAGGGGCATTATGGGTTTAGTTCCAGACTATGGCAATAAAGCAAATATCACAATAAAGTAAGTCACATGAATTTTGGTTTCCTAGTACATGTAAAACATGCATTTATACTATACTGTGGTCTACTAAGTATGCAATAACATTATGTCAAAAAAAAAAAAAAAAACAATATCTGTGCTGTAATTTTAAAATACTTTATTGGTTGGGACCAGCAGGTAGTGTGGTGGTTAAGGCACTGGACACTACCACATGGTCGACCATGGGTTGAGTTCGTAACCTGGTGGCTTGCTTTCTCACTTTCCCTCTCTTTCTCCTCTCTCTCTCTCTCTCTCTCTCAGGTCAAATTAAAATAAATGAATGGATAAATAAAATTAAATAAATAATTCTTTAAAAATCAAATACTTTGTTGGCTGGCCCCATAACCTAGCAATTGAGGGAGCCAGAGTCCACATGGCTGACTGTGGTTCAAATCCCAGCCCCAGTAGCTTGAAAAATACAGCAAGCATATGTGCCTGCCTGAAATCCCAATAGGATGGAGAAGGGATTGTGGTGTGACCACACTCCGGGGGGAGGGGGAGTGCTTTCTATTTTTCTCTGTCTCTGTCTCTGCCAAGGTCACATGCACTTTGTCAATAAAAAATAAAAATACTTTATTGGTAAAAAGTGCCAACAATCATCTGAGGCTTCAGCAAGTTGTAGACTTTTTGTCGTTGGATGCTCTAGCCTCCACAATGATGGCTACTCACTAATGAGGTTACGATTACTGAAATGTGGAGTGACTGCAGCAGTTTCTTATCTTTTTATATATATGAGAGAGAGAGGGAGCTCACAGAAGGAAGATGGGTAGCTTTGACTGGGTCCTGCCACACTGTGATCCTTCTGCCCCAACCGCCCCGTTAATTAAGACCACAGGTGCAGGTTGGGCTGGGAACAAACCTGGCCTCCCAGATACCCCTGCCATTGTGCAGCCCTCCTACCTGCGCCACTGCAGTTGGTCCCAAAACCTACGCTCTTCTTTTCCCCACTGTATTTATTTTATTCAGATGGAGAGAACATATGCAAACATGGCGGCGGGGGAGAGACGCACTCTCAACGGGGTCTTGTGTCCGTGATTCCCTTTGCCCAGGCCTCCAGCTCATCGAGGTCGTGGACACAGGCACACTTACCTGGTGTGTTTTCAGGCCCACCCAGGGATCCAGACCTCGGAAATCTGCCATGTGGCTTCCAGCACTGCAGCTTGGCTTACTGCCTGTGCCACCTGGCTGAGCTTCCAGTTCCCTAAGATAAGACAACAGTGACGTTTGCCACATCGATAGACTCTTCCTTTCACAAAAGGTTTCTCTGTAGCATGCAATGCTGTTTGATAGGCGTTTACCCACAGCAGAATCTTTCAGAATTGGAGTCAGTGCTGTCAACACCTGCTACGTGCTGTTACGTCCCTGTGGGGTATTTCAGAGGGTTTTTGTCACCTCTACTTTCCATGAACTGGTAGTTTACATCACTGCTTTTTTTTTTTTTTTTTTTTACTTTCATATTTGTAAAACTACCAATGCTTATGCATAAAATTTAATGATAACATGAAAAAAATGTGTAGAAAAGGTGTAGATTGCCTCCCATTTTACTAACAAGAAACAACCACTGTCAGCAGCTGATTTGAGAGCTGGTTCCATGGTGTAGTGGTAATGTACTGCTCAAGAATGCAGAGTCCCACATGGTCACCATGTCTCGAATCCCCAGCCCGGTCAGCCTAAAGCATGCCAGCCACGCGTGCAGGTACCCCAGATCCAATGGGCTGGAGGACTGGAGAAAGGATCGCAACCTGACAGGGGCCTCTACTCTTAATCTTACATGTCATGCACATACTCTATAATGAATAAATGGTTTAAAATTAAGTTTGTGGAAAATTTAAATTAAAATTCTTTTATTTTATTTTTTGGAGAGGTTTTTGCTATAGGGCATGTGTGCTCACCAGAAAGAGGGAGACAGAGAGACAGAAAGCGAGAAATCACTCCCCACGGGGGATGGCCACGCCACAATACCTTTTCCTCTCGGGATCTTGGACACACATGCACATGTGCCCAGCATGAGTTTAAGCCACCAAGTCTGGGACTCAACCTGGAGTCAACTACATGGGAGTCCAGCAACATAGCCATTATACCAATTGCTGGTCCCTCAAAAATTTGAATTAAAATTTGAATTTATTTTTTTAAAAACTGATTTAACCATAGAAATCCCTTGATTTTTGTTGTTGTTTTAGTACCAACTAATACCCCATTCCTCTTAAGAATATACTTTGGGGGACGAGCAGGTGGTGCAATGCTTATGTCACTGGACTCCCACGTTGTCGATTGCAGTTCAAGTTCCAGACCTGTCAACTTAAAACACATGCTGGGCATGTGTGCACGCATGCCCAAGATCCCAAGGGGAGAATGGAGGAGAAGGGATCGCAGCATGGCCATCTCCCCTGAGGGATGATTTCTTGCTTTCTGTCTCTCTGGCGAGTGCATGTGTCCTATAGAAAAAATCTCTTTTAAATAAATTAGTTAATTAATAAAAGAGAAAATACTTTGGAGCCCAATCATGTGGTACAGCAATAATGCTAGCACCTGCAGTGCTGTAAGCCATACGGCGACTTGGTTTGGATCCCACGCCAGCCTGAAAAGCATACTGGGTATACATAGGGACATGCAGGACCCTGAGCAGCTAGAGGTTATGGTGGGACCTTGTCGAGGGTGCTTTTTCTCTACCTGCCTCTCTCTCTCTCCCACCCCCATGCATGCACTTTCTATCATTAAAAAGAGAGAGAAAAAGAAAACAAAAAATATATTTAAAAACTGTTAACTAGTGCTTATGAGCAAGATTACTATACCAGTTCTTAAATGATTCTTTTTTTGGGGGGGAGGGGGGAGAAAGAGATTTTTGCTATAGGGTGCATGTACTCACCAGACATAGAAAGAGAGACAGAGAGATATAAAACAAGAAATCACCCCAGGGGGAATAGTCATGCCACAATCCCTTCTCCTCCATTCTTTCCTCATGATCTTGAGTATGCATGCACACATACCCAGTGTAAGTTTTAAGTACCAGGTTTGAGACTCAAACCGCAGTTGACTGCATGGGAGTCCAGCAATGTAACCATTTATCTTCTGGTCTTTTAAGTGATTTTTTTTTTTTTTTTTTTTGAGAGGTTTTTGCTATAGGGCGTGTGCGCTTGCCAGAAAGATAGAGACAGAGAAACAGAAAGTGAGAAATCACCCCCCAGGGAGGATGGCCACGCCACAATTCCTTCTCCTCCATTCTCCTCTCGGGATCTTGGGCACGCACGCACACGCGCCTGGCGTAAATTTTAAGCTACCGGGTCCGGGACGTGAACCACGGTCAACTACATGGGAGTCCAACGACATAGCCATTACGCTAACTGCTGGGCCCTTAAGTGATTCTTATAAGGCCAAGAATTACCACTAGATCTTTTCATGATTTGAAATAAGGTTAGCTACTTTATGCTTTTTAGACCTTATTTTTTACTTATTTATTTATTTTGGAGTTTTTTGGGGTTTGGGGGTTTTTTTGCTATAGGGCATGTGCACTTGTCATAAAGACAGAGAGAAACAGAAAGCGAAAAACCCCCCCCCATGGGGGGTAGCCATGCCACAGTCCCTTCTCCATTCTCCTCTCGGGATCTTGGACATACACACATAACTGGCATGAGTTTAAGCCACCGGCTCCAGGACTCGAACCGCGTTTGACTACATGGGAGTTCAGCGACATAGCCATTGCACCAACTGCTGTTCCCATATGCTTTTCAGACCTTAGAACTGAACTCTTTACTGTATTTCAAACATGAGAAAAATATAAATAACAAACGACTAGAATGCTTTATAGCCGTATACACCAAGTGCTTCATAAAAACAGTGATGAATGAGCTCACCCAGCACATGGGCTCAGTGGGATTGGAGCACATTCCCTCGGGTGTGTACTCAAAACACAAGCATATGCACTGAAAAAAAAATCTTTTTTCTTTATTCGTTTTTTCTAGATTGACTTTAATATTTTAAGTATAGCAGGTTGGGGCCAGCAGATGTCACATGGCTGTCCATGGTTTGAGTCTCAGACCTGGTGGCTTAAAAATCAGGGCATGCATGTACTGGGTACATGTACATGCATGCCCAAGATCCTGGGAGGAGAATGACGGAAAAGGGATTGTGATTTCTGAAAAAATGTTTTTTCTTTAAAAAAAAAAAAATATATATATATATATATTTATATATACATATATAATATATATGATGTATATATAAAAATATATAGCATATATACACACATTATATATAGAGAGAGAGAGAGAGAAAGAGCAGGTTGGTATTTTAGAGACTTTTTAAAAGTGAAAGATTCTGATATACTTTGTCATTAATCTGGATGGTTTTTCTCTTTCCTTTTTAAAATGAACAGGATCCCTGTCAAAGTTTGCCTTACCTGGAAAATCAGAAGTGTCGTCTTCCTTCAACACAAGTAATACAAATATCTTCCAGAACTATGCAATGGAGGTATGATTTTAGTCAACAGCGCAACTAAATGTACTGTTTTACAGTATTTCTATTTCTGAAGTGTCGATGGTCCCCGGTAGACTAACACAGGTTAAATACATAATGTGTGAGATGTCAGAAGGTAGATTGCATCTGAATAAAGTTAAAATCCGGTTTTTGAATACTCATCAGTTCTGATTATTGAAATCATACTAATTTATTAGCCTTGTTCCATATTTGCTTTGAGATTTGTCAACACGCAGAAAGAAGCATGTTCATTTCAACATTCGTTTTTATTCTTTGCCATGCGTATGTCTCTTTGAATGTTTATGTTGTATCCTCAACTTTTACCATCAGTTTTACTAACTTTCCTGGTGAGGGTTCAGGGAATAGTTATGATGTTGTATTGTCAGTTTATTCCACCATGGTTTTCATTCTTTCTGTCAGTTTGATGTAGATCTCTGCTGGATATGCTTCTATATCTCATTATGTCATGTTTTACTGATTTTTCTGTACAAATTGGTTCCAAATACATTTGTAAGTAGTTGCTATTTCATGCTAATTTGCATAAATCTAAGAAATAAATTTGCATACAGCTGGAAAATAAATACTGGGCACTGATACTGACTTTACGAAGTTTCTGGTGGCTTCAGAAATTTCTGTATTTATGGGCCAATAGGTGGTGCAGTAGTTAGGACATTGGATTCCCATATGACTGAGTCCTGACCCGGCGGCTTGAAAATCACACCAGGCACATGTGTGTATGCCCAAAATCCTGAGAGGAGAATGGAGAAGGGATTGTGGATGGCTCAAATCTCAATACCACATGCCCGTTCTGTGGCAATCTTTTCTTGCCCTTTCTGAATATTGAAATAAGAGATTTAAGACGACCTGCAAGGTAATGATATATGTGGGGTGTTTTCCTCCCCTTTGGGTGGGAGATGATTTCTCCCTTTCTGTCTCTCTCTGGTGAGCACACATGCCCTATGGCAAAACCTAAAAAAAAGAAAGAAAGAAAAAGGAAAAAGGAAGTTCTGTTTTGATTGGTTGGTTGGTTGGTTGGTTGGTTGATTGGAGAGATATTTTTGCTAGAAGGCATGTGCACTTGCCAGAGAGACAGAAAGTGTCTCTCCACTTTCCTCTTGGGATTTTGGACATGCATGCACGTGTACCCAGCATGAGTTTCAAGCCGCTGGGTACAGGACTTGAACCGTGGTTGGCCATGTGAGAGTCCAGCGAAATAATCACTCCACCACTTGCTGATCCTGTGTTGTTTTACTTTTTCTTTTTTCTTTTTTTTTTTTTTTGGTAAGTTATTTTGCTTCAGAGTGTGTGCACTTGCTGGAAAGAGAGACAAAGACAGATAGAAATAGAGGAAAAGTGAGAAGTCACCTCCCGAGGGATTGCCACACTGCAATCCCTTCACCTCCATTCTCTTCTTGGGATGTTGGGCGCGCACACACACACACACACACACACACACACACACACACACACACACCACCACACACAGGCACTCCATGTTTTTCAAGCTGCCAGGTCTGGGACTCAAACTGCCTATTCGACTGTATTGACATCCAGCACTTTAATCTCTGTGCCACCTGCTGGCCATGGTTATTAACAAATTAAAACTCGGGTTTACTTTTCTATTACTAAGACTACAGTACATTTTATAGTAATTATAATGAGAGGAGAAAATACTCATTTAAATGCACGCATCCCTTTCAGGCAAAATTTTAGAGTGGATTTAGCTGAAAGTTGAAGATGAGTATATAATGCACTGAATGTTATCTATTTTTTATTTGTAACTTCTGAAACCATCTGAGTTTTAATTTTCCAGTAGTGTTATGAATTGAAATGGTTTTTAATTCATGATGTGGAGAAACTAGTTTACTTTAAAAAGAACCATCTTCTCTAGGTTCTCATCTCAAGTTGCTCTCGGTGTAGAACCTGTGATTGTCTTGTCCATGACGAGGAGATTATGGCAGGCTGGACGGCAGATGACTCAAATCTCAATACCACGTGCCCGTTCTGTGGCAATCTTTTCTTGCCCTTTCTGAATGTCGAAATCAGAGATTTAAGACGACCTGGAAGGTAATGATATATGTGGGGTGTTTTCCTTCATGTTTAAGGATTATGTTTCCTAGAGCATCTCTTTCTCAAAAAGCTCCTTTGATTCACGTTACAGATATTTTTTGAAGCCAAGCCTGTCTACAGAAAACATGCACTTTTCATCTTCATTTTCAAGTCAGACAAGGCAGTCTTGCATTTCAACCTCAGCCTCGGGTCTTGACACATCTGCTCTCTCTGCCCAGGGGAATTTTGATCTAAATAGGTAATCATGATTCTGTGGCACTGTTTTTAAAGAACCTGTATTACATGTATTTTTAGATATATGACAGAAAAATGAGTTGATAATTTCAAGGTTTAAACTTCTATGAATCATAGATTCATAATCTTAAATTTTTATCCCAAATTAAAACAGTATTAAAAAATCTCTAATAACCCAAATGTTAAATATGAACAGCTAAGAGTTTATGAATCTGTTTATGAATTCTGTTTATGAATCCCTGCAGTTTAAATCGCATGTGCATATGATAATGTTTACTAGCATTTTAAAGATTAAAAAAACTATAAGATATTTGAAGTTTATAATAGCTATCTTTTCCTTATCTCCATCACCTCAAGAATTAAGTCACTAATAGCTTCTACTTTACAATGTCTAGTTTTTTACTTAGGAACATTTAATAATCTCAGAAAACATTTGGAGCTTGATGTAAGAACTGTAATATTACATTGGACCTATACAGTAAACCTACTATAGGGAAAGCTACACTTAAAACAATTGCAGGGAGCCAGCAGGTAGCATGGTGGTTAAGGTGTTATACTCGCACCTGGCCAACTGTGATTTGAATCCCAGTCCCGGTGGCCTGAAAATCACACCAGGCACATGTGTGTGCATACCTCAAATCCCAAGAGGAGAATGAAGAAGGGATTGAGATGTGGCCATCCTTCTGCAAGGTGATTCCTCACTTTCCCTCTCTCCATCTCTCTCCAGTGAGCACATGCACCCTATGGCAAAAAATCTTAAAAGAAAAGGGGGGGGGCAGAAATTCTATTTTGTAAATGTGCCATATAAGCCATGAATAGCTGGACAAGTGATGCCATCTTGGGAAGCATGCGTAAAAACAGTGTCTATATGATCTTGACAGGGCGAGGTGACCTGTTTGATCCTAAATACTCAGGTTATAAAAAACTCTGTATGTGTACCTTCTTTTATCATAGGACTACGGTGGCCCTTTATCTTTGTCTTCTCCTAGCTTTCTCCTAGGGGAAAATGTACCTGTTCTCTGCTCTGTATCTCTGCGGCCTAGTGTGGTCCCTGCTATATAAAAGCCATCTGTGGCCCAGCCAAGATACCACATTGCTAGTTGACACTGCTGCTTAGCAGGCAGATGCCTCATGAGAGGCCTGATTTGATTTCTGGCCCCTAGAAAGCAATACATAGTAGCACATGCCTGTAATCCCGGCTACAGGGGAGGCTGAGGCAGGAGGGTTGTGAGTTCATAGCCAGCATGGACCAACAACATAGTAAGGCCCTGTCTTAACAAAAAAAAAGTTCACTAAGTGAAAATATAAGTGTTTTGAGTAACTAAGTGTTTTGAGTAAGTGAATGAATCTTGAATATGTTACATTTTATTTATTTATTTTAGTTTTTGCTATAGGGTGCAAGTGCTCTCCAGAGAGAGATTAGGGAGAGAGAAAGAAAGAGAGGGAAAGTGAGAAATCACGCCCCAGGTGGTGAGCACACCACAATCCCTTCTCCTCCATTCTCCTTTCAGGATTTGGGATTTTTCCAAGTCACCAGATCTGGGACTCTAACCACACACTCTGCCATGTGGGGTCCAGCCGTCTGCACTACCATGCTACGTGGCTGGCCCAAATCTTGACCATTTTAAATTTACTTGATAAAAAAGAAATTTGCAGGACTGCACCACTTTAAAATATATCCTGTTTCCCAGTTAGAGACTGAGTACCAGATTTCCTTTGATTTATTTTGCTATGCCCAGCTGATTCTAAAGAGAACATAGTTCTTCTAGATGAAATAAAGCAAATGTAGGCACTAATGTGCTTTTTTTCTTTTTTTTAATTCCTAAGCAAATTGAAACTGCAGGAAAATTCCTGTGCCCGAAGTATTGAGATCCCTGCCAACAGGTCAAAAACAGCTACATCCAAATGTCCGCTATTTCCAATGGTCAGGAGCATTAGTACTTACGGCCCCTTGGATAAGGAGGATACTGGAGGACAGAAGCTCATTCCTACAGGCAGCCTGCCAGCTACGTTACAAGGAGCTACAGTATGTATTTTGGTGATTTTTTTTTTTTTTTGGAGAGGTTTTCACGATAGGGCACATCTGCTCGCCAGAGAGACAGAGAGACATAGAGACAGAAAGAAAAATCACCCCCCAGGGGGGATGGTCACGCCGCAATCCCTTCTCCTCCATTCTCCTCTCAGGATCTTGGGCATGCACGCACATGTGCCCGGCATGAGTTTAAGCCACCGGGTCCGGGACGTGAACTGTGGTCGAACTCGGTGGGGAGCCAGCAACATAGCCATTACGTTAACTGCTGGTTCCCATTTTTTTTTTTAATTTGGAAATTGGTCCTTTACATATGATTTTGTTCCCCTTGTCCTAAATAGTCTTAGTAGATTCCATTTTATTATTGCCAAAAAAGAATCTCTTATCCCATGATATATTACCTTTCTATTCATATGAAAATCATTAACTGGGATTTTAAAAAATATTTTACTATCATTTTTTTTTTTGAGAGGTTTTTGCTATAGGGCGCGTGTGCTTGCCAGAAAGACAGAGAGATAGAAAGAGAGAAATCACCCCCCCCCCCGGGGGGGATGGCTACGCCGCAATCCCTTCTCCTCCATTCTCCTCTCAGGATCTTGGGCATGCACGCACATGTGCCCGGCATGAGTTTAAGCCACCGGGTCCGGGACGTGAACTGTGGTCGACTACGTGGGAGTTCAACGACATAGACGTTACGCTAACTGCTGGTCCCATCATTCTTTAATATACCATTCATGGTTTTTATTTACTCAACAGGACTCTCTAGGATTAGAGTGGCACCTTCCAAGTCCAGACCCTGTCACTGTCCCATATCTCAGTCCGCTAGTGGTGTGGAAGGAGCTGGAAAGCTTGCTGGAAAACGAAGGCGACCATGCAATCACGGTGGCAGACTTCGTGGACCATCACCCGATCGTGTTTTGGAACCTGGTGTGGTATTTCAGACGCCTCGACTTGCCCAGTAACCTACCTGGATTGATTCTCTCTTCTGAGCATTGTAACAAGTATTCAAAGGTATGAGAGTAAAAATTACCTGGCAGCCAGTGCTGTTGTAACCATTGTAATATTTGCATGTTCCTAATGATAAAAAGTAAGGTTTATTTTTATGCTTAGTATTTTTAATAACCCTCTGAATCATTAGATAAATCCAATTGTTTTTGTTGCATTTCCAGATGTTTTTCTTACAGTCTGCGTAGTCATGCATTCCAGCCTTCTTCTAAAATTTTTGTAAAATGTGCTCAAATTTCTGTTGCACCTTCAAGAATAATCTAGAAATGGCTCTTATGAGAAGAGTTTGAGAGTTAGCCCCACTCATAGCTTACACCTTCTTTTAAAATGAGCCCAACCTGTTTTCGGCGGGTATCTGTCACTCATATCTGTCACTCCATTCTCCTCGTTCCTTTACTCTGAGTGCTTGCTCAGCATTTCAGTCTTCAGTTTGTTACTTGTCCATTTGTATCTTCGATATGTTTGTACTCTTTCACGTACTATCACTGCCACTGAATTGCAGCATGTCTTGGGGTCAGCAGGTGGCGTAGGGGTTAAGGCACTGGGCTCCCACATGGCTGACTGTGGTCCCAGTCCCAGACGTGGACTTGCTTTCTCACTTTCTGTTTCTGTTTCTGGTGAGCTAACATGCCCTCTAGCAAATTAAAATAATAATAATAATAATGATCAATAAAGTTAAATAAATAACTTTTTAAAAAACAATTACAGCATCTAAGTTTAGGAACCTTGTCTCCTCGCTTGTTCTTCATGTCTGTGATTGTGAATGTGCTTTGGATCTTCAGTACATCATGAATGCAAGACAGCGATGTTAACTCAGTTATCTGGGCCAGGGTCACTAATGTGGACTAGGCCTCCTGGGTTTGCGTTTCTCTGGATTTCCAGTCATGAGTAGAGGCAAGATTAGCTCCTCCTCATACCTGGTACCCTTTCTCACTGATCTCTGGTATTCATTAAACCTACTACTTTAAAAAGATCATCAGTGGACCAGCAGGGGCGTGGAAGTTACAGTGGCTAGAACTTACATGGCTTGAAAATCCCACTGAGCATGTGTGTGTGTGTGTGTGTGTGTACGTGCCCCAAATCCCAAGAGGAAAGTGCATGAGAAGTGATTCTGGCATGGCCATCCCCTCTGGAGGTGATTTCTCACTTTTCCTCTCTCTCCTCTCTCTCTGTTCTCTCTTTCTTAAGGGAGCATACATACCGAATAGCAAAACAATTTTTAAAAAAGAAAGATAGATCGGGTCCAGCAGTTGGCATAGTGGCAATGTTGCTGGTCTCCCGTGTGGTCGACCGTGGTTCAGTGGCTTAAACTCACGCCAGGCGCGCATGTGTGCGTGCCCAAGATCCCAAGAGGAGAATGGAGGAGAAGGGATTGTGTCGTAGCCATCCCCCCGAGGGGTGATTTCTCACTTTCTACCTCTCTGTCTCTCTCTGTCTTTCTGGCGAACGCATGCGCTCTATAGCAAAAACCTCTCCTAAATAAATAGATGGATAGACAGATCATTAGCCCCTCAACTGAGCCTTTCTCTCAGCATACATCAAATGCATATAAATCAGTCATTTTCTGTTCTCTTATCTCTCTTCATCCCAAAAAGATATTTATTAGAATTGAGAAAATATTTATAAAAATTAGCCCATAAGGCGCACTAATGAATGTTTGTGCATTCTGTGACACAGATTCCCCGGCACTGCATGTCTGAAGACAGTAAGCATGTTTTAATACAGATGTTATGGGATAACATGAAATTGCATCAAGACCCAGGACAGCCCTTGTACATCCTCTGGAATGCCCACAGTAAGTGCCCGCAGAGAATGCAGACAGGCTCATGACTGGACTCTGTACTTGCTTCTAATGGCCTACACTGACATGTAACTGACTTTCATTCTACTGTACTGCTTTTTGTCTTACAGGTCAAAATCGTACTCTTTTGTTTGAGAGTGAGTGTAAAGTTTGATTTTTTTTATTTTTTTTTAGTGCTACTGTCTATGGAAGTCGAGTGGGGTTTTTGTTTAGTTGGTTGGTTTTTTGAAGGGTGCCATGTGTGTGCTGGAGGGGTTGGCTGTGAGTTCAGCTTTCAGCACATTGCCTGTCCCAATTTCTTCTTTTATTTATTTTTTATTTGTTTCCATCCCAGGCTGCTGATACAGAATTTCCTTCAGTGGCTGCTTTACGGGAAACCGTATTTTTAGTTATTGTCTATTTGAAACCACACAGAAAGTGTTAGGCCTGTTTTTGTCATCATGTGTCGTATTTTTTTTCCTTTCGGCTTTCTTCATTCTTAGGTTTCTATTCTTTTATCTATTGCCTTTAATTTATTTTGGCGCTTTGTCACTTCTTGAATAGCCATCAGCTGCTGCTTAATTTTCTTCTCCTTCCTACACAGGATATTTTCCTTCACCTGCTGTTTTGTTCTTTTACAGCCCAAAAATATCCAATGGTCCATTTATTGCAAAAAAGTGATAACTCATTTAACCAGGATCTGTTGAAAAGTATGGTGAGAAGCATTAAAATGAATGATGTCTATGGACCGATGAGTCAGATTTTAGAGACACTAAATAAGTGTCCACATTTTAAAAGACAGAGGTAAGTCATTCTCTTTAATGAATATGTTATTTCTCTTAACAGATTCGTATTATTTGCTTAGTAATTCATTAGAATATTTTATGCATATGTTAGCATATAATCATTTCTGTAGCGAACATATGGTCTATATGGATACTGATCATTTCTCTATGGCTTTTTGCCCCATAGGAGTTTATACAGAGAAATACTATTTCTCTCACTCGTGGCACTGGGAAGAGAAAACATTGACATAGGTAACCCGTCAAAACATGTAATACGTAATATTTGTGTATCATGATATAGTTTTCCGAGTATTGTTATATTGGTAGCCTTAATTTTTTTTTTTTGAGAGGTTTTTGCTATAGGACACATGTGCTCACCAGAGAGACAGAAATCAAGAAATCACCCCTCAGGGGGTATGGCCATGCCACAATCTCTTCTCCTCCGTTCTCCTCTCAGGATCTTGGGCACACACACGCGTCCGGCATGAGTTTAAGCCACCGGGTCGGGGACTCGAGCCGCGGTCGATGACATGGGCGTCCAGTGACATAGCCATTAGGCTAACTGCTGGTGTCCCGCCTTAATTGATTATTATAGACTATTGAATTATACTTTTAGGTTGTCTGGAAAGTCAGGACATATTTTTCTATGTTTTTTTAATGCAAAAAGGCATTATGACTTTCCCAACAACCCAATAATTTTGTGAGAATTATTTCTTTCATTTTTTGCGTGTGTGTATAATGTAGTGAAAAAGATATTTTGATACTTTGGTCACAGTAATAATTATTATTATAAATAATAAAAGTAACTTTTCTTTTTTTGGAGAGGTTTTCGCTATAGGGCATGTGTGCTCGCCAGACAGACAGAGAGAGACAGAGAGACAGAAAGCGAGAAATCACCCCCGAGAGGGGATGGTCACGCCGCAATCCCTTCTCCTCCATTCTCCTCTCGGGATCTTGGGCACACACGCACACGCACCTGGTGTGAGTTTTAAGTCACCGGGTCTGGGACGCGAACCGCAGTCAACTACGTGGGAGTCCAGTGACATAGCCATTACGCTAACTGCTAGTTCCCAAAAGTAATATTTTTGAGGGCTTACTCTGTACCTCACACTGTAGCAAGTGCCTTTCATGTATTCTCTTGTATAATTCTCCTAAAAGTCCTATGAGGTCAATGCTGTTATTATTTCCATATTGTTATTGAGAATACTGAGGATGTGAGAGGCTAAATATCTTAGTCTCAAGACCAGCAGGTGGTGTGGTGGCTAAGGCACTGGACTCCCACATGACTGATCATGGTTGAGTCCCAGACCCAGTGGCTTGAAAATCATGCTGAGATGCCCAAAATCCCAAGGGGAAAGTGGAGGAGAAGGGATTGTAGTGTGGCCATCCAACCTGGGGGAGTGATTTCTCACTTTCCCTCTCTCTGTCTCTCTCTGGTGAGCACAAGCACCCTATGGCAAAAACCTTTAAAAAAAAAGAAAAAGAAATAGAAATGGCAGGAATAGCCTCTGGCAGACAAAAAAATGAAAATTTGTGATTTTCATAATGTAGGTGACTGTTTTAAATTCAGTTTAAATGCTATTAGGCATTGAAACCCTCAACCAGAGTGTTTGAGGACTTACCATAATATTGTGAGTAGGTTGAGGACAATGATAATTGATACATAATTCATCTGACTTGAGTTAATAGAGTATACAGATCATGCTTCTATCAGGATAGCTGGAGGGAAGAGGATTGTGGCAGGGCCATGCCCCATTGGGGAGTTCTCTCTCTCTCTCTCTCTCTCTGGCACTGCATGTGCCCTCTGGTAATTAAAAAGAAAGCAGTATATTAGCATGATTTCTAGACAGAGAGAAACCTTCAACTGAAACTCATACATGTCTGTTCCTCTTTTTTGTCACATGTGGATCGTCTTCTTGAAAAGAAGCACACAGACCGTGACATAATGTCCTTAACAGTGATAAGGCAGGCCGGCCACGGTAACGCCACACTCCACGTCCTGCGGTCCCCTGCACGATGGTCACGCCGCAATCCCTTCTCCTCCATTCTCCTCTCGGGATCTTGGGCACACACGCACACGCACCTGGTGTGAGTTTTAAGTCACCGGGTCTGGGACGCGAACCGCAGTCAACTACGTGGGAGTCCAGTGACATAGCCATTACGCTAACTGCTAGTTCCCAAAAGTAATATTTTTGAGGGCTTACTCTGTACCTCACACTGTAGCAAGTGCCTTTCATGTATTCTCTTGTATAATTCTCCTAAAAGTCCTATGAGGTCAATGCTGTTATTATTTCCATATTGTTATTGAGAATACTGAGGATGTGAGAGGCTAAATATCTTAGTCTCAAGACCAGCAGGTGGTGTGGTGGCTAAGGCACTGGACTCCCACATGACTGATCATGGTTGAGTCCCAGACCCAGTGGCTTGAAAATCATGCTGAGATGCCCAAAATCCCAAGGGGAAAGTGGAGGAGAAGGGATTGTAGTGTGGCCATCCAACCTGGGGGAGTGATTTCTCACTTTCCCTCTCTCTGTCTCTCTCTGGTGAGCACAAGCACCCTATGGCAAAAACCTTTAAAAAAAAAGAAAAAGAAATAGAAATGGCAGGAATAGCCTCTGGCAGACAAAAAAATGAAAATTTGTGATTTTCATAATGTAGGTGACTGTTTTAAATTCAGTTTAAATGCTATTAGGCATTGAAACCCTCAACCAGAGTGTTTGAGGACTTACCATAATATTGTGAGTAGGTTGAGGACAATGATAATTGATACATAATTCATCTGACTTGAGTTAATAGAGTATACAGATCATGCTTCTATCAGGATAGCTGGAGGGAAGAGGATTGTGGCAGGGCCATGCCCCATTGGGGAGTTCTCTCTCTCTCTCTCTCTCTCTGGCACTGCATGTGCCCTCTGGTAATTAAAAAGAAAGCAGTATATTAGCATGATTTCTAGACAGAGAGAAACCTTCAACTGAAACTCATACATGTCTGTTCCTCTTTTTTGTCACATGTGGATCGTCTTCTTGAAAAGAAGCACACAGACCGTGACATAATGTCCTTAACAGTGATAAGGCAGGCCGGCCACGGTAACGCCACACTCCACGTCCTGCGGTCCCCTGCACACCAGGCAGGCACGTGTACCCAGCATCCTGGTTGGCCAGGAGCGACTCACAGGATGAAGGCCCCTTTGGGGTGTGCCTCTTATCCCTGTCTCTCTGTCTCTCTCAGAAGTAAGAAAGAAAGAAACTTTAAAATAATAGTAAAAATCACAGTGTATTAGCCCCCTCTAGCTCCTATGAAAAAGAGGGGAAAAAAATTACATAGGGATATCAGGTGATCTTTAGATTTTCCCAAGGATATCCCATAATAGGAAGTTTAGGACATATAAGCCAAAATAAATTCAGCTGGAGCAAAACTTTTAATGTAGGGACCAGCAGGTGGCATGGAATCTCACATGGCTGACCCTGTGGTTCAAGTCCTGGATCTAGCAGCTTGGTCCTGTAGCAAATAAAAAAAATAATAATAATGATAACCAAAAAATTAAATAATTATTTTTAATAAAAAATAAATTTAGGGAACCAGCAGTTAGCGTAATGGCTATGTCGCTGGACTCCCACGTTAGTCGACCGTGGTTCGCGTCCCGGACCCAGTGGCTTAAAACTCACGCCGGGCACGTGTGCGTGCGTGCCCAAGATCCCAAGAGGAGAATGGAGGAGAAGGGATTGCAGCATGACCATCCCCCCTGGGGGGTGATTTTTCACTTTCTGTCTCTCTGTCTGTCTCTGTCTGTCTGGCGAGTGCACGCGACCTATAGTGAAAACCTCTCCAAAAAAATAAATAAATAAATTTAAATGTGAAAAATGAAACCATAAAAAATTAGTAAAGGAAATAATGGGCAAACATGTTTTGGTTAATCCAGGTGGAAAGGCCATTGCTTATTCTTATTGTTTTTACTGGGTATGAAAAGCAAGGCACAAAAAGAGTGTTAAGACAGATGTGGTTTTTAGCATCCACACCTGGTAGAATTAGGAATTAGTACCTCTAAACTTTACCTTTCACTGATCTGTGCCATCTAGCGCTGACATGCTGTGAGCTCAGCAGCACCCCCTCCAGCCTTGATATTCGTGATCCTTTGGAGGGCAGAAATGTCCTTCTTGGCCTCCAAGTTTGTGGTTTTGTAGTATTTGTAAAAACTTGATCATTGTCAACGTCAGACAAATTTCTTTATGCTTTTATTTGTTTACAAACTTTTGCAGATGCATTTGACAAAGAGTACAAGATGGCCTACGACCGTCTCACCCCTAGCCAAGTGAAGAATACACACAACTGCGATAGACCACCGAGTACGGGGGTGATAGAATGTCGGAAAACCTTCGGAGAACCTTATCTTTAAGACCTGTGTGTGTGTGTGTGTGTGTGTGTGTGTGTGTGTGTGTGTATCCAACATATATTGTATAGCCAGTGTATAAAATAACACTTTTAGACTCAGCTTCTTTTCTTCAACTTTTGAAAATGCATTTGTAAATGGTCAAGAAGATTCGGATAACTTATGTACAGAACGTTTGCGAATGGTGACAAAGGGGAGAGAGCCACTTTGTTTCCAGTCCTTTTCTTCTTCTTCTTTTACTCCCCATAATACATAATTATGTATTTTCATGAGAGGAAATCCCTAAACAAAATGAATTACCGTAAAATAAGACAACTGTCTTCTGGTGTCTCTTAGAAGAGACAGATTAAAAAATCATGTATGGAGCCCACACAGAGATGGAAGATCAAAGTCTCTCCTGTTCTCACAGACTGTTCAAATGTTTTCACCATGAAGTTGTATTATACATATTTTAAATTGTTTATAGTAAGTTGATATTTTTTTAATTTTTAAATTTAATATAGCAAACTTAAAATGAATTTAAACTTATGAAGCAAGCAAGCGCTTATTTTCCTTGTCTGCTGCTATTTGAATTAATTAGTATAGCTACAGATCTCTCTATATGTATATCTACCTATATATATATTTTTTACTACTTGGGAGAATGAATTCAGAAATCTCAGTGCTAGTGTCTGTGTTGCCCTAGGATTGCATGCTAGCCCCCGAAGCCTAACTGCAGTGAGCAAGGCTCAGCAAGGCTGGCGTGCACAGCCCCGACCGACTCTAATTAAGCCTTGTGGAAGGAGAGCCGAGAGGCTCACCAGACCGTGATTCCAGAATGTGTTCTGTTAATGGGTACATACAGTACACAGGGAAAATAGCTTACAAACCCAATTATCAATTTAAATTTTAATATTCCACATGAAAACTTACATTGGGAAATAGGTTATCAACTCTGCCAAATTTTACCCTTATCTGAATATCTAAACTATTGGGTATGATACATAATGTATTATAGAATATTTATCTGAAATACAACTTACTGGGATATTCTGTTAATATTATACATAAATTCTCAAAGTATTTTTTTCGAAAGTAGAAAAATAATAGCCCTCTAACAGTACAGCCAGATAGAATGTGAAGTTTATGGGATGCAGAAATAGCCAGAAATCAGACAATAAACTGAATGTTTAAACACCATGAGTATTAAACACACTTTAAAAATATATATATTTAGTTGCATTATTTCTAATATCACTTTTGGTCACTTCTGACATAAAAAAAGCATCATTTGGCTGTTAGAATTACTTACAGGTTTTTCCGTGTGTGTGCATACATTTTCACACTTGACCACTAACGAAGGCGCTCTCTAACCACTTTTAAAGAAAAAAATGGTCACAAATTAGTAGTGTAAAGCCAACAGAGCCCATGACACACGGACTGGAGGTACGTCAGAGTCCTGACAGGAAACATCAGCACAGTTGCAGGGAAAGACACCTCTGGAGTTCATACCATTAGTGAATAGCACCAAGGCGAAACTTGAATCTTTTTCCACTCTGGAAGATAATGAAGTGTCTAAACATGTACAGCTTCAGTTCAGTGAGTCTGGGGCTGAACTTGCTTACTTGAAAAATCTGGTGCTGTGCACTGTATCTGCCTCTCCTCCGTACACCCCGTTACCATCTTTACTGTTCACACCCAACCTTCACATCCTAATTGAGTCTCTCGTTTTCGACCATGTGTCCCCTGAGAAAAACATTGCCTCGGGAGGCTTTAGGCATTGGCGACAAGCAGTCCTCCACACGGGAGTCTGGGGTTCTCTTCTATTGTTACTTTCATTCCCTTGGAAGGAGCATTTTCACTATGGTTTGCTTTTCCTGTAATACAAACAGCATGTAGGAATCAGTGTTGATTGGTTTCGATGTCTGACAACAACAAAGAAGAGTGAGGTAAAGCCATTCTTCATGGTTCAGACTCATTTGGAAAAGTGAATGTAATTTCTACCCATCCCCTGACCCTGAGTTTTATTTCTGCTTTCCGAAAGGGTTATATTTCCCCTACTTTTAATCCTCAGGGAATATTACTATACAAATTTAGTCTTTAAAAATAAAACATGAATAGAAACTGGTAAACCCTGTTCAAAAGAAAATTAAGATATGACTCATCCTCTAAAATAACTACACAGACATTTCTTCGATTTTTCTCTCTGTTGACCATACATGTTGGAGGTTCATGACCCCTCATGTTGGAAATACCTTTTTGCTGCATACCTGTCTCTTACTTTCTTACTCTTAGCTTTGTTTATATGCCTAAACTGTTGAAAATAGACCATGCTGTGTGCTGGTATACCCTGTTCACTACTTCCTACCATTATGTTTTGAATGTCACACATTTGTATTTTATAGCATATTCACATATTGACCTTTCCCTCTTATCGCCAGATAGGGAATTATACAGCTGTTTATCTTCTGATTTTGTCCTCTTTTTCTAACTCTTTTGGTTGTGTGTGTGTGTTTTTTTGTTTTGTTTTGTTTCGTTTTGTTTTCCTTTTTGCTTTAAAAATCCTAAAACTACCAGCTTATTTTATTATAAGGTTTTCTAGTATGTCTCGTTTTTGTACATAGAGAAATGGCCCCTGAAAATGTTGGTTTAACATTTTAGACAATAAATACTTATTTTTACTTTATGCCGATAATTGCTATGATACTTTAGTGCAACTAGTAGAACTTATGCTTTATTTCTAAATACTTTGTAAGTATGTGGTTTTTTAAAACAGTATTTGGTAATGTGCCCCGCTTTATTTTTATTCCTCCCGCTAGAAATCCAGAGCTGCTGTTAGGCCCTTTATCACAGAGCAGGAAGGGAAGAGCAGGCCGCCTTGAGGGCGCTTGGCCTTTGTGCGGGAGGTCTCACGTTCCACCCCTTCCTGTCTGGATGCAAGGCTGGGCTGGACTGCACTGAGCTCTGCAGCCACTGCACCCGCCTCTCCTCAGTACTCGGTGCTTATCACACCTGGCCTCAAAGTAAGCACACCTGCTGGCTTAACTATTTTTGTTTACAAAATTACCAGTATACAAACTAATACATGGATTTTGTCCTCTCTATCTAAAAGCCTGTGCATGTACTCATACTCTGAGATGATAACAGACTCTGCTGGCGAGGTTACTGCTGCTTCCCCACAGTTGCTGTGCATCAGGATAGCTCCCTACTTTTGTATTGGAAGACTCTCTTTTCAAATGTAGTACTGGTGATAAAACTGTGGGAGCAACAGGTGGCCTTTTCTTTTTTTCTTTTTTTTGGAGACGTTTTTGCTATAGGGCGCATGCACTTGCCAGAAAGACAGACAGAGACAGCGAGAAATCACCCCCCCCCCGGGGGGGGGGGAGGGCCCTACCCCAAGAAGGGGGGATGGCCATACCGCAATCCCTTCTCCTCCATTCTCCTCTCGGAATCTTGGGCACACACGCACACGCGCCCGGCATGAGTTTAAACCACTGGGTCCGGGACTTGAACCATAGTCAGCTACATGGGAGTCCAATGACATACCATCTGCTGGTCCCCAAGTGGACTTTTCTGTAAATTAAATTCCCCAGGTTTAACCTGTTCCTTACAGTGAAGTATCTGAAGGCCAAAAGCATACCTTTGTCGCGCAGGCAGGCATTAGGGACCCCCCAGGAAGGGGCGTCTCACTCATGAGCCCTCTTTCTGCACCTTCCATAGTCACCAGTCCCAGAACACAGTGCAACCGGCACCAGCTAGAGGGCCTGCCCACACAAGGGGGGTCAGAGCCAAGGGTGCTCGCTGGCACATTCGGCCAGCCAGCTCTTCCCATCTGTCTACCACACTCACCCCAAGTATCTAATTCCTATCCCTTTGGTACTCAAACCTTTGAATAAATGATTATTCTGATATATAGACAGTGTTATAAAAGACTAAGCCTATAGTCTGAGGAAACCATTTTCAGATCTTTTGATGACAGTGCAATATAATGTTCAAAAGGTATATAACCATTTAAACTCATGCTAATTTTCAAAAGCTTAAAATACATCCGTTTTTTTTTTTTTTCTGGTACTACATGGAATCTTAACCCATTAACTCAGGAAGAATCGCACACTTTTAGAACTGGAGCCCAAACCTATTGCCAGGACCATCAAGGAAATGCATCCCGGGGGGATGAAGGAGAAGTCGTCCTGCCTGCCAACTCAGGTGCCCACGTGGGACGTTTCAGATTGTGTAGGTTGAGTGAACGAATTTGTCCCAGGTAACTACTGAGACCATTGTGCCTACCAAAGAAAGGGCCACCTCAATATTATCTTAACATTTGAAGATGGTACTTCACCTCCAAAACAGCATGACTTTAACGTCAGGAGGGATATGTATGTGTATGAGAAAGCTTTTCATTTCGAAGAATAACAAATCAATCCTTTAGAAGTTAAGTCAGTTTCCCATCTCCCTGAAATCTCCTCCTTCTCTCCCCCAGTGAATTTCTACCCATCGTCCAAATTCAGCTTTTTGTTCTGTTTTGGTTTTTTTGTTTTTGGTACCTGCCCTCTTCCATCACAGTGAGAAGTGAGCAGAATTTCCTTTCTAGGCAAAGGAGAATGCCAGACACGCAGACAGTGGGGAAAGGGTGTCAGGTCATTAGAGGTGTTCTGATCGTTAACCGGAAGTTTCAGTGCTTTATCGTCAGACCGTTTTACTGCGTCACTCCTCATTCCTCTGAGCATCAGCTCCCAGGCCGTGGGTGAGCAGGAGCTGTCCCTGAGGCAGCTGGAGTTGCCTGCAGACCCCAGGGTGGGGCCCAGAATTGTAGCGTCGGGATCCGGGATCTCACACCCCCCAGGAATTGTTCTCTCCTCCCGGTCTTGGGCCATGGCGTGTAGAGACCTGGCACTGTGACAGCCTCGGGAATAAGGAGAACTAAGTTTACAAATGGAGAACCTGAACATGGTTCCATGGTCTTCATCACTCTTCTCTTGAGCCTTCTGGGGAAGTGACCTAAAGATAGGGATGAGCTGTCCGTGTTTATAAAGTGAAATATCACTGGGATTCACAATTTACTGAAATTCAATAAAAATTCTTCCCCAAGAGTGGGAGCCCTGGGGTAGTGAGGTGGTGAATTCAGTGAAGCAGCTCATCCTGAAGGAGGGAGGACTTTAAACACTTGGCCCTTCGGCCCCGGGGCGTTTCATTTCCCTACCACGCCTGTCCGGCCGCCCTCTCATCTCAGCAGCTCGTTCCTCGGTAACTAAAGCCAGAGTACCGGCATAACCTGCTGTCACCTGAGCTCCTTTTGCTCTGAAAGCAATGACATAAAACTGTTTCATTTTTAATGTGTCCCTTAATTTGATTCTAGTAAAAGCAGTGGTGTTCAATATGCAAACACATCAAATTTCAACATAAAACGTTTATCCGCAGCATTTCTCAAAACACACATGTCCTTTGCACTACCCACTCAGAAGCTTTTCCGCACCGTGTTGTCACTGTGGAGCGTGTTTGGAAGTTCCCCTTTGCGGCTGCCTTGCGATCCCTCATAAACCGCGCACACGCACCGCGCACGCGCACATCGCCCTGCTCGCTGTGTACCTCGACGTCGGCCGACCTGCAGAAGCAGCGCCAGCCCGCCGGCCTCCTACCTCATGAGCCACACGTGGCTTTCCCGACTGGACTCAAAGGACTTCCCGTCTCACTCGTTAGTGGCAGCTGTCCCTGGTCAGGAGGGCAGGGCAGAGCCAGGACAACTGCGTTAAATGTCTGCTGCCTCAAGGTGACCACTGTCAGACACAACATGAACTTGGATAGTCTTTTATTTTTGAGATTTTTTATTTTCCATAGGGCTTGTGTGCTTGCCAGAGAGACACGGAGAGAGGGAAAGCGGGCAGTCACTGCCACTGCCCACAGTCCCTTCTCCATTCCCCTCTCAGGATTTTGGGCACACACACATGCCCAATGTGTTTATCCAGGTTGTCGGGTCCAGGACTCAAACTGTAGTCAGCATGTGGAATCCAGTGCCTTCACCACCACACCACCCGCTGGCCCCAAACTTCGGTATTTTAAATACATGTTTTTAAGTAGCCCTCAGAGTAGTTTTTCTTCCACTCTAAAAAAAGGGAAATTATATTTGACCATTTCTTGAGCTGCTTTCTGTTTCAGTTCCACTCTCAGAACGGTAACAGCGAGAGTTAACAGTTAACGTAGTCTCCTTTTTAAGCTAAAGATATTTGTTACATATTTTACAGGACTGCAATGTGGAATGGTAAGTGATTCCTGATACACTTTTTTTCCAATAGCTTTAGCTCCTTAAGTTCACCAGTAACGGAACCTGTGTGATTACAAACCTGATCAAATCTCATGTTTCAAATAGAAAAAGAGCAGCCAGCACTTGACCGCATGTGCTGGGGCAGGGCTGGGAGCGCTGAGATGCGACCGTGCCTGCGTGCTGTGAGCTGTCCTCTGTGCCTGTCCCCATCACTCTCATTTGGGAAACACTGGCTCCAGGGGTCCTTCTGTGGCCCCCACATGATGGAAGTCTGTGAGTCGGGGGTAGGAACCCCACTCTCCGGAAATGAGGGTCTTAATCCACAATAAGCTCCAAGTATTTCCGAGAGGAAAGTTCGGTCCTGGATCACGTCCACATCAGAGGTTCTGGGTCACTCGGGTCACTCCCGGATCGGGCTCATTGTTTGATAAAGTAACTGCTGACCTGGCTCCTGGTGTCCGTGCGGGCTGAGCGACAATGGCCGACTCAGAGAGATACAGGACAGGCCATGATGCGCTCTTCCAGCAGCACACTGATGATCAGGAACACGAAGTAAAGGAGGAACATCGCGAAGCCCAGCCTCTTGCTCATTTTCCACTTGCACGAAGCGATCGAAGAGATCACAAACAAGAGCATGAGGAAGAGCAACACGATGGCGCAGAACAGGCCGTTGCTGCTGACGGGGACAGGCTGTAGTCCGCTGAGCAGAGAGAAGAGCAGCCACGGAGCAGGCAAGCTGCAAGGTGGCAGAGAGCATGAGAGTCCGCGACGCCGTGGCCCCTGCTTTTAAAGTGTCTCCCCACTCTCAGCACCAAAACTGTTAGCCCCATTTCAAGGATGAGGACACCAAGGCTTAGGGGAGTTAAATTACTTGCCCAAGGACTCGTGGCTAATAGAGCCTACTCAAGTATTCGGGGCCAGCAAGTGGTGTGGTGTTTGGGGCACCGGATTCCACATGGCCGAGTCTGCGGTTCAAGTCCCAGACCCAGCATCTTGAGGAACTTGCCAGGCATGTATGTGCGTGCCCACAACCGTGAGAGGAGAATGGAAGAGAAGGGATTTCGGAGTGGCCAACCCGCCGGGGAGCGGTTTCCTCACTTTCCCTCTCTCACTGTCCTCTCCAGCAAGCACATGCACCCTGTAGCACAAATCTTTTAAAAAAAGAAAGGAAAGAAAATAAAAATCAAAAACAAAACTCAAGTGTTCTCAATCTGAGCCTTTTTTCCCCTCCTGTGTACCTCATGGTTTCTATATGACTAACCAGATCAGGGTATTCTCTAATTTTGACATTTTTACAAGAGACCTCCCTTAGGTTAGCATATCTTTAATTCTTTGTTTAAGAATTGTTTAATTTTATTTATTATTATTATTTTAATTTGCTATAGGCACTGCCTGGAGAAAGAGAGAAAGCAAGCCATCAGGTGCAGGACTTAAACCAGTCGGCCATGCGGAAGTCCAGCGGCCTCGATCACCATGCCACTTGCTGGCCTCGGCATTTCATTCTTTAGCTCAGAATTCTCCTATGCCTTTCTACCAGCCCTACCCCTCACACACACAGACACAAATTAAAATCTACCACCCAAATCCAGAACTTGACCAGGGAAATAAAATAGCCCAGTGCTCCGCTGTGACCAGTTGGAAGAACAAGGCTTGTTCATACACAATGCTCCTTGGAGCTCTAAGTTACCAGGAGCCCAAATGTACAGAAGCAGGACTGGCAAGAAGAGAGCCTGAGTCACTTCCTGAAGCCCCACCTCCGCCACCTTGCTAGCAGGAGCAGAGCCTTCGACTATGCTTGGTCATGGAACGGAACGAGCTTTGTTTTCAGTTCATCTGGAACTTCCATCAGTCCCGTTTCAGGCAGCTGCTTTCGTTCTGCTAACCCACCTGGCCGTGATGAATACAGGGAAGCCACTTCGTTTCCTTGTGGAAGCTTACAACAGAAGTGCCCTTTTATTCCACGTCTGATGAACAAAGCAGAAAACCGGCACAAGAGCAGTGGTTTTCAGATCTAATACACCTTTGGAGGAAACTGCCACTCACCCCACGGTGATGTCAAATATGTTACTGCCCACAGAGCTCGACACAGCCATGTCTCCCAGGCCCTTCCGAGCGACAATCACACTGGTGATGAGGTCGGGGATCGACGTGCCCGCAGCCAGAATTGTCAAACCCATGATCTCTTCGGAAATCCCTATTGTCTCACCGACCTGGTAAACAACAACAGTAATGAGAAACCATGGCAATAGGAGGTAAAAAAACCTGGAGCTCTTCAAAGCGCCATCCACAAACAAAGGCCCCCCTCTATCACCCCACCTCGGCGTAGCAGACTCGGACTTGCTCAGCTCCTTCTACAGAGCGGCCTAGTATAGTATTTGCATAAAACCTACAGATATCCTCCCGTATCGCTCACCATTAACAGAAATCAACTCGAAACGGATCAAAGAGTTCCACGTGAAGCCTCAAACTATGAAATTACTGGTAGAAAACTTCAGAGAAACTCTTGAAGACATTAAAATCGGCAAAGGGCCTGCAGTGCCTGCTGCGGTGAGGACCCTGAGACACGAAGGCCGCCCTGGATGGCTCGGTCACGAGTACACACAGCCTGCCTTTAAGTCTTTACTCGCATCTAAAAAGCCCCACAGTCACATGATCCTTGATATTCTTGGGTACTGGAAACTTATCCTGCAGGAAGAAACAGTGCCCTCGGGGCCTGAGGTGGCCGGTTCCCGCGGTTCACTCACCTGGTGAGCCCACCATACCATGAGGTACGAGAAGACAGCTATCCATATGATGGCGCCCAGGAAGGTGACAAGGAAGAACTTCCTGGACTCCTGCGGGAGTTGGAAAGGAAGACAAGGAAGGTGCCAAGGCGGAAGGTCTTTGGCTGGTCCAAGGGAGCCCCAGCAGCAGGGCCGGGGTCCGAGTGTCAGAAGGGTCTGAGCACTCTCTGTGGGGACCCTGACACGGGTGGGAAGGAAGGGCAGCGGGCTGCGGGGACCTCAGCTGCGGGAGCTGTCTGTGGGCCCCAGAACCACGCCAACCTAGGGGTTTGCTGTGGCTTTTGTCACCTCCCTGGGCCACGCCTGTCTCTGGACGCAGAGACAGAACATGGGTTATATCTGGGTGGGCCCTACAGATAGGGCTGCTGGGTAGAAACAGCAGTGACCACCCTGGGTTTTCAGACTGCCCGGTGAAGTGCAGAGGGGCTACAGTGGCACCCTTCCCAAATTAAATCAAGAAGCTGAGCGAGGAGTCAAGGAGGGGCCAGTTCACACTGCTTGTCGCGGTGGAAACAGGCACTTTGGAGGTCGGACCTCACAGTCCCAGCGATGTGTCCCCTGGGCCCAGGTCCCTCAGGGCTGCGACCCCTCCACATCCTCAGGGTGCAGCCCTGCCAGGCTGCTCTCCCACCCTCCCCTCCTTGCGCCTGTGGCCCTGGGTGCCAAGGGACCCCACAGCTCCCTGGAATGGATGGCCTACGCAGCAGGTTACGCTCACCTGCCTGCGGACATCGGGCACCGTCAGCCACAGCGGGAGCACGACAGGCAGGAGGAAGAGGTAAACGGCCTGCTTCTGCCTGGTCTCCGGCCAGTCCAGGGACAGGGGCTCATCGCCCTCGTCATCGTCCTCCTCCTCCGCACTCTCACTCTCACCTCCATCACCTCCCCCTTCACTGTCTGTGCTTTTCTCATCACCGTTTGCTTCCCCTTGGGTTTCAGCACCGGCGTCCTGGCCTTCGGTTCCTCCGTCATCACCTTTCCTGTGGCCGCCTTCCACTCGGAGTCTGCCTCCCCTGTCACCGTGTCCTCTTCTCTGTGCTGGGATCTCACTGTCACCCGTACTTTCAGCATCTCCTTTTCCTTCGGGTCGAGATGCACCTCTGCTTTTCCCTCGAGCTTCACCCTCTTTGCCTGCCCCTTCGCCTGTGCACTCAGCACCGGCCTCACCCTCCTGCAACCCAAGGCCGACAGGTCAGTGCTCCCTCCCCAGGCCTCCCCCTTAGCCGTGGTTCTCCGCGGAGCGTATCTCAGTAGGAAGGAAAACTAGTGCAGCCACGCAGCCAAGCTCCCGGCACAAGTCCAGGCCCGCCGCTTGTCCACCTCGTGTTCAGGCATCTCAGGGACGGGAAACTCACCACCTCAAGGAGCTTCTGTCATCTCCGACAGCTTTGCTTGGTTTGAAGCCCATATTTTTTATCAAATGTCTACCCCCGGTGTTTCTGTTCCCTCTCTGGAGCCACACAGAACAAGGGCTGAGGATGCCGGGTCCCGCCATCATCCCCCTCTGTGGAACCCATTCTCATTTGCTAATATCGCATGAGGAGGGCATCCAACCCCGGAGACCACACTGCAGAGGAGGACAGGACTCTCACCTCCTTTGTCGTAGACGCAATGCTTCCATTAGTGTTGCCTGATGTGCTGTTACCCCTTTGGCGGTCACAGCAGATTGCTGAGTCTCCTAAACTCCTACATAATTGCATTACCTCATATGTATAACACAGCAATAAACCTATTTATTGCAGGCTTTTATACGTGAGGTACCATGGACAGGGGTTTAATGATGGCTAGCACTTAACTACGCTACTGTTTCATCGATTAATTCATGATATAGTTGGAATTATAGCCACCCTACACGTGGAGCAGGACTGGGCAGGGTAAAGAGAAGTTCAATAACTTCCCTATCGTCCACAGTTTCTAAGGGTGAAGCTGGGGTTTGCCTGGAGAGTCCAATGCTCAGTCTCTCAACCACCAAGCTACCCTGCTTGGCAAGTGCCAGGGATGAATGGAACTTGCAGCTCTCAAACCTAGTAGCCAAGGGAGCTTATTAGAAATATGGATTTCTGGGACCAGCAGTTAGCGTAATGGCTATGTCACTGGACATAGCCATGCGTGCCCAAGATCCTGAGAGGAGAATGGAGGAGAAAGGATTGCGGTGTGGTCATCCCCCCTGGGGGGTGATTTCTCGCTTTCTGTCTCTCTGTCTCTCTCTGTCTTTCTGGGGAGCTCACACGCCCTATAGCAAAAACCTCTCAAAAAAAAAAATAAAGATTTCCTGGGAGTAACAGATGGCATAATGGTTGTCACTGAACTCTCATGTAGTCAACTGCAGTTCAAGCCCCAGATCAGGAGACTTAAAACTCACACGGGGTTGGGGGGGAACCAGCAGATGGCGTAATGATTATGTTGCTGGACTCCCACATAGTCAACCGTGGTTCAAGTCCCAGACCTGTGGCTTAAAACTCACACCAGACACATGTGTGTGTGTGTGTGCCCAAAATCCCAAGAAGAGAATGGAAGAGAAGGGATTGTGGCATGGGCGTCTCCCTGGGGTGGGGGGTATTTCTCACTTACTGTCTCTCTGGTGAGTGCACAGGCCCTATAGCAAAAATCTCTCAAAAAAAACCAAAAAAATTCCTGGCCCCACCTGGACGAACTAAGAATATCTGAGGCTGGAGCCAATAGGCAGCATGGTAGTTAAGGCGCTGGACTCCCACATGGCTGGCCATGTTTTGAGTCCTGGGCCTGGCAGCTTGAAAGTCAACTGAGCACGTGTGAGTGCATGCCCAAAATCCCAGGAGGAGAATGGAGAAGAGGGGATTGCAGTGTGGCCAACCCCGTAGGGGTGACTTCTCATTTTCCCTCTTTCTCTCTCTTGCAAGCACAGCAGCCTATGGCAAAAACCTACAGAAAGAAAGCAAGCAGGTTATCTGAGGTCGGGAGCCAGGAATGTGCATTTGAACATGCTCACAGGTGCGCCTCTACGTCCATCCGCAGACCAGCACTTGGGAACCACCGCTGTCTTCTCACGCTATAAAAGCCATTGGTGGTGAGGGCCCTCAGATTAGTCAGGCCCGTGAGCAGATGACCTTGGCTGTGTGCTCGTGGAGTGACGAGGTCATTGCCACAAAGAGTCATGATTCTGGCCACTGCCAAGGGCTGCTCGGCAACTCCCCACTCTGCTGCATGTGGACATCGCCAGGGGCTTTAAAAGCTGTCAGTGCCCAAGAACCCAACCCGGACTGTCTGACTCAGCTGGTTAAGGGTGAGGCCTGGCATTTAATTTTAAGCTCTCCAGATTAATATGCAAACAGGATTGAGAACCCCTGATGAAGAAGCAAGAATTGACATCTGGTGAGGCCTATGCTTTGGATTGGCATGAAGAGTGAGATTTTAGTCTGAAATAAAGCCTGCCCCCCCCCCAGCCCATCAGGTAGGGGGTCTTCCTGAAAGAGGTGGTATGTTATTAAACCACTAGGCATGGAGTATCGACATAGCCTGAACCCTCTTCTCTGAGGACTGTCTTCCTAGTAACGCCAGCAGAATGGGTGGCCACTCCTTCCATGTTGGAGGCAAGGGACCCACTTCTCGTGGGCCACAGCTAACTGGATACAAGCTGGATCCCTGACCCGTGAGCTGGGTTAAACCAATTGTCTCTCTGTCGAGACTGAGAACCAGTCACAGGATGAGCCTCCTGTGGGCTGAAGGACTCGGGTGCTAGTTCAGGGAGACGTGTGCTAAGAGGGGCTGAGTGAGGGACAGAGCCTGCATACAGAGGAGGGCCGGGAGGGCGCACCCGCCACAGAGTACGAAGCCACCAGGCTCAGATGCCTTCTCGGGTCCAGCTCCTGGCTGGACCGAAGCCCACTTCCTGCCCTGGACCGTCCTCATCCCTCTACTTGAGCTCGCTGGGTGGGCCTGCTCAGGACACTCGCCATACCGTGACAATGTCGTGGACAATGGACCCAAAGTGGCTGGCTCAAGGATGAGCTGTAACTGAGTGCCTCAGGGTGCTGAACAGAGAGGCGGGCAGGGATGGAGCCTGCACCCCGAGCACATGTGTCCTGTCCCCACTCGGCCTGTCTGGAGCATGGCCTGTGCCAGCGTCAGGCCTCCCTGTGCGGGAGACGGCGGCTCACCATTGCAGAGTTCCTTCGGGAGCCCCATGGAGGCTCCAGGGGGTCAGTCGGAAGGGAAACAACAGCAGAGCCCCAAGATGGGGCGAAATGTGGGTCAGGGAGGCTTCCCGGCACGGGAGGCGTGGACGCTGGGCCTGGAGGAGAGTGTCAGATGGGGTATGTGAGGGTGGAGGGAGAGGCAGTCTAGGGGGAGGAAATCGTGTGGGCCGTGGCCTAGAGGCAGAAAACCACAAGACAACAAGCCGAGGGTGGCGGAAGGAAGGGTGCAAGGCTGTGCAGACAGCAACGCCTGCACCCGGAAGGCCCTGCGGACCAGCGAGGCTGGCCGGTGCAGCAGGCCCTGAGCAGCACTGGACAACTCCAGCCTTTACCCAACAACCCTCCCGCTCTCACTGTTCCCTGGTGGCTGACAGACCCACGAACAGTTATTTCTGTGTTCTCTGGCATGTGACAGCTCCCAATACCCATGAGGTGTTTGTACTTTTTTTTCCTTTTTGAGAGAGATTTTTGCTATAGGCACTCACCAGAGAGACAGAGACAGTCAGAAAGTGAGAAATCAGCCCCCAGGGGGGATGGCCATGCTGCAATCCCTTCTCCTCCATTCTCTCGGGATCCTGGACACGCACATGCACACATGTCTGGCCTGAGTTCCAAGCCACCGGGTCCAGGACTCAAACCATGGTCGACTACATGGGAGTCCAACAATGTAAGCATTACTCCACCTGCTGGTCCCTGTTTGTACTTTTTAAGTGGTCATCAGGGAACAGGCGATTCCTTTACCCCCAACAGGATTTCAGACCTTCAGGGAGGCTGTATTTCTGGCCAGCAGGTCCTTCCCTGGTCCTTCTCAAATCCCTCCCCCTGTGCAGAGCAGGGTGCCTACCTGACAGCCAGGGCGCTTCTCCTGACCTCTCCTGACGTCTGGGGCAGGGTCTGGTGTGACAGAGACTGCAGGAAGCTTGGCTGGTTCCTCCACTTCAAAGGATAAACATGGGTTAGGTTAGGGGGTGGGCCAGGGTCCGAGGCAGCCGGCAGGGACACTGGCGTGCGTGGCTGCGGGAGTGTCAGATTCAGGGTCTCAGGTCTGCCTGGGGAACCTCTTGGTGGGGAAAGTGGGGTGATGTGATGTGAATTGGACGCGCTGTCCACTGAGCTACCCGCAGCGGAGAGCAGAGCCAGGAGGCAGCCAGCTGGTTCCAGGCCTGTCCTACTGCGTTCACAGGCCTGTCCGTGCTGCGCTGGGGCCGAGGATACTGTGAAGAGCCTGGGCGGCTGAGGGAGGGGACAATGCTCCCTGTGTGGGGTCTGACCCTTTGGAAAGGATCTTCCAATTTCACAGGCAGCAGCTCCGAGGCCTTGGAACAAACAGGACAGAGAGCTCGGCGTGGGTGTGCAGCTCTCTCCCTCCTTGGCTGTGTGGCTTTGAGCAAGTCTCTCGACCTTGAGCCTCAGTGTCCTTGTCTGTAGAATGACTGCTACTGCACTCGGGGGGCTGCTGAGCGGGTCAGGCGGGCCTGGTGTGCCCCGCACGCTGCATGGCAGTAGCCTGACCTTCCCTCGCTAAGTAGGGCCTTCCCTCACTGGGTTGCTGGCGTCAGGCCAATCACTGGCCATGCTGTCCTTGTGTGGAAGTGACGGGATGGAGAACTAGAGATCAAGAGTCTCGCGTGGAATGAGACTAAGCAGAAAGGAAGTGGGAGTCCGCCCTGTCTGAGCTGAGTGCCGAGGAAGCTGTCCCGCATCTCAGGCCGGCAGCCCTGTCAGAAGAGAGCATGCCGGGAGGAGGAGGTGAAGTGAGGGCCTGGGGATGCTGTAGCAGATCATCCTCCAACTGACTGGCTCAGAGAGGCCTAGAGAAGTGCCTCGGTCCCTGCAGGGGCCTGCTGCTGCCTCCAGGCCCAGCTCACTACCAACAGGTGGCAGACGCCGCAGGAGAAAGCCCGCTGGCCTGCCATGCCCTCACCTTCTGCTTTGCTTTCTTCTTTGGCCTGGGGTTGGGCCCCGGCTGCCTGTCCCAGGCTGCCCTCCTTGTCCTTGGAGACGTGGGCTGCAAATGAGAAAGGAAAGACATCTGGGACCACGTTACAGTCCCTTTCCATTAGGACAGTCAGTGGAGCCGTGGAAGTGGGTAGGAAAGGGCTGGGCTGGGGTGCGATAGATTCTGACCCCACCAGGCTTACTCACAGTTCCCAAGTCCTGTCGTACACTCCCTGCACTGTGGCTAACTGGCCGTGAGCCTGGGAAAGTCTTCTCCCCTCAAGGCCGAGTTCCTCTCTGGTGAAGTGGCATGGTTGGACTCGGGGGCAGCACAACTCCTGCATATTTCCTGTACGCGCTCAAGTGACGGCTGCTGAGTGCTGGAGGGTTCTGCCGCGAACTTGGTAGGAAAGTGCCGTGGCTGATTGGCCATGCCTGCCTTGGGCAGAGAGTGGAGAAATCCTGGCAGGAGATGTATTTTCATCATCCTCGGACTAGATTATCTGGAAGGTCTTTTGCAGCTGATTTTCTCCGACTCTGCTAGCAGCCATGCTGGAGCTCCGGGCAGTGGAGGTCTTGTCCGTGAGCCTTCCCTCTCCAGCCCTCACCACATCCAGGTAACCCCAGTCACCTGGAGCCCGGGCACGGCCTCCCTCCAGGGCCCTGTGCAGCTGTTTGTTGGAGGCCCACAGAGCGGCGTGTGCGACAGTGCTGCCCTGGTTACCGGCATGAGCACTGGGGCAGGCAGCTCCCCCACAGTGGACCCTGTGCCAGGCAACCTGCAAAGTGCTTTGCGTGTGTTATTGAAGGCGGGAGAGGATGGAGGGACTGAGGCTGAGGTGCAGGAGCTCATGAGGGTCCTCCACACAGCTGTGGAGCCTGGGGGCAGGGTGCACAAGGGATTGAACAAGGTGGACCCTGGGATCCATTCTGGGTTTCAGGCTGGCCTTGCCCATGCACACTGGGTCACTTTGGGCAGCTGTGTGCCCTCCCTAAGCCTCAGCACCCTCTCTCTAAAATGACAACACCATGATATATTCAGAGCTTCGAGGGCCCAGGAGGCCAAACAAATGCAAATGCTTTAGCTGCCATATTGCTGTGTTAGCACGGATTTTGAAGTTCGGTGACAGGTTCAAATGCTCGCACTGCCATGTGCACTACAGCTGTGGACCTAGCCAGGTGCTCCCTTAACCTCGCCCTACCTCAGATCCTTCCTTTGTAAAACCTTCCAGGGTTGTTGACAAAGTGATTTATATATCAATATGCTTAAAACAGTGCCTGGCACTAGAAATCACTGTGTCAATTTTAGCTGTTATGACAATGGCGACAGTGCATTGGCAACAGGGTGAGAGTGGCCGTCCTGCCCAGGCTGTCCTGCAGTGGCGAGGCCCCATGTTCAGAGGACTGAAGTTGGAAAGGACCTGAAGGTCCCTTCGCCCATGATTTGGGCAGACCGAGAGGGAGCTGAGGAGGTGCAGCCTGGGAGGTGGTGGCTCGAAGCCTCTGCCGAAGCCCTGGTGGGGAGGAAGCACTTCCCCTGTCTCGGCTGTCTCCTATACTCAGAGCCAGTCCAGCAGAAGCCGCCCGCAGTGGGGCGCATGTGGTCCCTCGGACTACCCTGGTGCCCAGCAGGACCTCTTTAGAACTAAGATGTGGGGAGGCCGGCACCCCACTGCCTCTTCGCCCAAACACCCGGCACCTTCTTGGCTTTAATCAAGCACTAGCACCTGCCGAGCAACATGCAGCTGTTGTCGAAGTTTCCAGGCCGGGCCCTGAGCCTCTGCTGGCCATCGGCTAGAAGAACAAGTGTCCCTTGTGTCCGTGCACCCTTCATCGCATGGTCTGGCCTCTCGGTTCTCATGCCTCCAAGAAAGCAGGTGAGCTGCAGGTCTCGCCCTCCCCACCCCGCACAGGCCCGAGTGAAACCGCCTGGAGAGGAAAAGCCCTGCGTAGGGAAGGGGAGAGTTCACGCCCCAGGAAACATCACTGGCAGCTCTTGCAAAGAGCTAGAACACCTGGAAAGGATGAGCACATCTAGAAACAGGATCTGGAAATGCAGTCGTGTATCTGGGCAAATGGGAGCACGGGCCTTCCTGCAGGCCGTGCGCGGCCCTAGTGGCTCCTGGGCGTCATCAGGGTCAGGTGATCTGAGCAGGCCTGCATCCCAGAGCACGTCTGCAGTCACCCCCCGAGGGCCATCCATGCCCCCACACCCACACACAGTGTACCAAGTGTGCCATCCTGGGAGTACTGTGGCTGGCTCCTCCAGCACCTGTGTCCTCACCCAGCCTCTCCCTTCTTGGCACGGTCAGATCATCTCCTTAGCGTCAATCTCCTCTGACCTCGCCCTGGCCCGGCCATCACATAATCCTGTTAGCACAAGGAGGCCAGCTGGTGGCTGTGGATCACAGAGTAGCCCCAGCAGGGCTCTGCCGCCCATTCAGAGGAAGGTCTTTATCTTCAGGACATGGAGTCAGTGAGTCCCTGGGAGTGGCCGAGCATGACCCAGAGATGTGGCTTCTTTCAGTGGGCCCAGGGGGGCCCCAGCCCTCATCACGCACAGGCAGCCGAGTGCTGTGCGCTCCATTCTGGAAATTCACAGGTTCTGTCTGTCCAGAGCTGACACTGCAGGTGGCCTCTCACGATGTCAGCCAAGGCCCAACTTGCGGGGCTTCTGAGCAGCGTTCCATCACCTGCTCTTGGAGGCTGCTTTTCAGTTTAATGTTTTTAAATACCCGGCAACCCAATGTTATGTCTGAAGAGGACACTGAGGCTATGAGGGAAATTTGCCTCTGAACCAGAAAGGTCAGTCAGCATGTCCCTGGGGCCCAGTGGGAATTTCATGCGTCACGTTCAGCCCAGTCCCCAGCCCAGTGCCCGCTGCACTCCGAGCAGCGATCTTTGTCCGAAGGCCAACTTTTCCCCATGAGCCTCCTGCATGGCCTCACGGGTCTTCACCAGAGCCCCAGGAAGGAGGGGCCCGACGAAAACAGGAGGCTACTTAAGGGGGCTCTTTGGGGGCCTGAGAGGCATGTTGGGCAGCTCTCTAGGGAAGTGGGGGAGAAGGCAGGACACGGAGGGTGAATGGTGAGAGTCCTGGCTGTCCCCATCACTTGCCACATTGGACATCACCCCCATGGCACTCTGGGACCCGCTCCTCCCCTCATCCTCTCACCACCCCAGACGTGCGCCTGGTGGCTTTCGGGGTGTCCTTTGGGACTCCTGGCTGGGTGAGAGGTTAACAGGCTTCTTAGGGCTCCGGAGTGGAATACAGAGCAAAGGAAGTGCCGCTCAGAGCTTCTGGGCCATGGGGCCCTACAGGAGGTGCCCCCTGGGCCCAGCCGACTGACTGGAGACCCTCTGGGACCCTGAGGCCGACTCATGGCAGTGGGCGTGACAGGGAGGTGGCTGAGGGCAGCACAACACAGACGGATGCAGGCACCTGGTGCTCGTGGCCTCACTGTGGCCTTCGTCTTACAGGGAGGGACACTGAGGCAGGGAAGCAGCAGGATGTGGGGACCCCCGTGTTCCTGGGGCCCTCTCTGGTGAGGTCCCTGTCTGCCTCTACCCCGTCTCCCAGACCACCTTCCACCACCCTCCTTCCTCTCTCACTCTGCCCCCCACACCCACTGTGGCTCTCCTCCAGCTGCAGGGGACAGCAGGGGCAGGGCAGGTCACGTGGCCAGGGGCCTGTCTTACCTTCCCCCAGGGGGTCCAGGCTGTGGAGCATGAGCCGGTAGATGGTGCTGCGGATGGTGCTGTTGTGCAGGGAGGACGAGCTGCTCTCTCGGGTCAGCACGGACGGGAGCTGAGCGAGGGACAGCGCAGACAGCGCACAGGCCTCAGCGGGCCCCTACCCGAGCCAGGGGAGGAGCCACAGCAGGGCCTGACCGAGCGAGCCTCCGGCCCACAGAGATCGCCGGGAGCTCCGCATCTTCTGCTGACCTCCCTCCTCCCTCGCCTCCAGCTAGGACTGACGGCTCTCTTCCTCAGTCTCCTCTCCACTCCCCGTGACCAGCTCAGTCTTCGTCTAATTCCCCAGGTCTCCACGTGTGTACGGTACCCTGTTACCGAGGGTTTGCACACCCCTGCAGATGCGCCTCACAGGAACACGCCTCACGGACAGACCACTGCGCGTGGGTGCAGCCCCTTCCAGTCCACAGAGAGCACTGCCAGCTTTCATCACTGCCTGCCTCCCTCCCCAGATCAGCGCGCTCTGCTCCCCATCCACAGAAAAGGAAATGGAAACTCCAGGAAGCAGTGAGGTGGCTTGTCCAGGCCATGCAGAGACGCACCCAGGTCTTCTGACTCCCTGGCCAGTGGGGTGAGGGGTTGTGTGAATTTTTTCCTGCACGTGCTCAGAGACCTTCATGGGCACGCATGTACGCACGTGGACAGTGTGACACAGATGGGACACACACTATCCGTGGTGACACACGCATCCCCAGATTTACAGCAAAACATCGGAGGACAGCATTTAACTCTGCCCCATCTTCCGCCCTCCTTCCTCCCATCGTCCCCAGCTGAACTCTGCCGCCTAGTGGCTGTGGTGACGCAGTACCCACAGGCGGGAGGTTGGGTGGGGAGGTTCCATTTTGCAGCCTCTCCCTTCAAAGTTTCCCGGGAGTCTTTCCAGGTTCCCCCATGGGCCACAGCTAGGGCCGGTCTGCAGAAGCTGTCTTTTAGACCTTCCTCCCCTCCTGCGTCCCTCCTATCTTTCCCTTTGTTCTGGGGCATTCCAAAGCCACAGGTCATGAAGCTTTTGTGTCCAAGGATCATATACTACTGGGCCATGAACCAGGGCTTCAGTCCGACGCGTCCAAACACTCATTTTACAGAATCAGGACCTGAGGCCCCAGGTCGCACAGCCAGCTGGGGGCAGAGCGACAGTTCCCAGGCTAGCCCCTCCTCCTTGCAGGCCCCAGACGGGGAGTTCCTCCCCGGCCCATCCCAACAGCCCTCCCAGGGGCTTCCCTGGGCTGTCTGACTGCAGAGATCCGCAGTGTCCCCACTGGGCAGACTCCACACAGCACCCACCTTTAGCTTCTTGTTATCCTGGAGCTCATCCACAGCAATGGCCCCATCGTCCGGCTGCAAACACGGACAGGAGTCACGAGATGTCTGGAGACCCTCGCCTCCCTCCCCACTTCCCTGTCCGGGAGTAGAGATGACCTGCCTCAGAAAAACGCAGCTGACAGTAAGGCTCTTCGCCTCACTCCTGCTTTCGGGCTCTATTTAAATGTCCCCTTCCCTGGGAAGCTACATCGATCCTCTTTGTAGACACCTGTTTTCCCTCAGAGCGTCTTCCCCATTTCATAACGGCATGTTCATCATTTCATAACGGCATGTTCTTCAGCATACCCGTAAACGCCTGCCCACTGGCACCCCGAGGGTGGGCTGCTCTATTCACTGCTGCATGTCCTGCAGCAGGCAGTGCCCACACTAGCCAGGGCGCGATACCTGCGCATGCAGTGAGAGGACTGTCTTCTAAATACACCGCCTCTATCCCAACTCCCTGTCCGTGCCTCTCCCCTGCCTGAAAAATGCCTCCTTCGTCCCTCTCTTTTTAACCAAATCCTATCCATTTTTCAGAAAACTCGAGGTTAATTCATATATAAAGTTTTCCCAAATGGCCCCATCCACCCCGCCCCACCGTCCCTCCAGCTACTGCGATGCCCCTCTCCCGGAAAGCTGCACAGCGGCGCACGCACGGTATGACCCGACGGTCCGGCCGTGTGATCGGGTAAGTGCTAGAGTGGGGAAAGCTGGGGGCAGCCAGCCGGGAAGGGGGAGAGCCCTAGGCAATTCCAGAAGAAGACGCAGTGCGGCCGTATTTTCCATCTGGACCGCTAGCTTGCCACTTGGCACTCAGAGCCATGTGATACCAGATGGACTTTAAAAAAGAAAAAATCACTGTTTAGCCTTGCACATACGAGCGTCATCCACCCAGCTATACTTTCTTTTTTAAACCGTGCAATGAAGTCATGATAGTCACCTCTGCTTTCCTAACCTGCGGCACACACAGCGTCTTGCACACAGCAGGTGCTCAGTGAAGGTGAACCGGGAGCGGCCTCTAGTGCTGTCTCCAGGCCTCGGGGCCCTAGGGGCTGTCATTTTGACCCAGTGCTTCCCTCACACTTCTGACCTCCACAGTGAACTAGATCTGCCACACTCCCTCCCTGTTCAGCTCAGAAAGTAAAGAATCTAGTGCCTGCCTCGGGCCATGCGCTCATACACATTGCTGACTGTATGAACGAACACACAGATGAATGAAACAGAGCAGACATAACTCATCTAAACAGGAGGGGGAGCTGCACTTTTTTTTTTTTTTTTAAGAGAAACAAGATCTTGCTATGTTGCCCAGGCTGGCCTTGAACTCACACTCTTCCTGTCTTAGCCTCCCAAGTAGCTGGGATTACCATCATGTACCACCATGCACGACTGGGCACTGTGTATTTTTTTTTTCCTTTTTGCTGTAGAGCCCACGTACTTGCTGGAGAGAGACAGAGAGAGAGGAAAAGTGAGAAATCACCCCTCAGGGGGATGGCCATGCCATAGTCCTTCCTGCTGCATTTGGGATTCTGGGTGCGCACACGCATGCACACACACTCGTCCAGCATGATTTTCAAGCCACCAGGTCTGGGACTTGAACTGTGAAGTCAGCCATGTGGGATTCGGCCGCTGGAACCTCTGCGCTATCCGCTGGCCTGGGCACTGTGCATTTTAAAAGATCTCCCCAGCTCTCCCATGACACGCATGTAAGTTTACTGCCATGTGCAGACCGCAGCATGGCTCAGCCCTGTTGCTATTGATCATGCCCAACCCCACCGACTGAGCTCTCTTTCGAGGAAGAGAACTATGCAGGGACACGCTGCCCTTGCCAGTGGTTGTTTCTGTCCATGAGGGGCAAGACAGACTGATCTCTGCTCCACAGTACCTGTCCCTGATGATGTCTCTGCCATGCAGATTTCTTCAAGCCAAATACTTTCCTAGGGGTTCATTGCTAATTTCACTGCGTACTTCCAATTTTCCAAAGCCCTTCACATCCATTTTCCTTTTTTTATTTTGTTTTAATTTTAAGAGAGAGATTTTTGCTATAGGGCATGTGTGCTTACTGGAGAGGCAGAGACAGAGTGACAGAAAGCGAGGAATTGCCCCCCCCCCCCCCCCAGGGTGATGGCCACACCACAAATCCCTTCTCTAGCATTCTCCTCTTGGGACTTTGGACATGCACACACATGTGCCCAGCGTGAGCTTTAAGCCAGCAAGTGCAGGACTTGAACCACAGTTGACTATGTGGGAGTCCAGCAGCATAACCATTATACAATCTGGTGGTCCCCACATCCATCTTCTCATTCAGTTATACTAACTCTGAAATGGGCAGAGTAAATAGGCTAACAGTATTACTGTATTTCAAGTTTGTTTCAGGGCCTGCAAGTGGCACAGTGGTTAGGGCGCTGGACTCCCACGTGCTGACCACAGTTTGACCACAGCTCTCTCTCTCTCTTTCTTTCCTCTCTGGTGAATGCATGTGCCCTAGAGCAAATTAAAATAATAATAAATACAATTAAATAACTTTTTAAGTTAATTTGTTTCCTTCAAATTGAGAGAGACAGAAACTAAAGAGACAGCTCCCGCAATAGGACCCACTGCCACAGTCCACCCCCAGCCTAAGCCAGCCCCATGGGCACACGCATGCCCAGGTACCAAGGGAGGTCTCAGGACACAAACCCAGAACCTCCCCGTGTGGGTCAGCCTCACAGACCGCCACCCTGTACAGCTGCCCCGTCCAGCCCACACTACTATGTTGATAGGCGAGGAAGCTGAGAGCAGAAGGGTTCCGTGCCTCACCCACGCTCCCAAAGAGCAAATCAAAGACAAACTCTGATTTCCTACCTCCATTCAGAGGGGGTGGTTTGTTTTTGTTCTGCTTGACTCAATCCCATTGGTTTTCTAAGTAAAGGAAAATTAGGTCAAATTTATATTCCACAGTGACTCTGCGGGCGTGCAGGTTTGTCTGCATTTGGGAATGGCCGATGGGTCTCTTTTGGTGGCGGTTCTGACAAGCAGACGCTTTCTGAGCATGGCCTTATTACGAATATGTCCCCACCTTCATCTCACACCCACCAGCCTCGCCCCTCTTTCCTCAGGCTCTCACCCCCATGGCTCCCTTCTCCTCACAGAGATGAGCAAGGGCGAGGACACAGAACACCTCGGCACAAGGCTGCCTCTAGCTGGGGACAAGCTTGGGGACCGTTTGCAGCTGTGTACGGGAGCCCTGGCGGCCCCCAGGGAGGAGAGGGGGCAGGCAGGTCCTTCTGACTTCCAATTTCCGTCTCACGCTGATGTAGCGATTCCTCTTCCAGGCCTTCCTGACCACATCTCCTCAGTCACACATTTTAGTCTGTGAAGGTTTTCTTTAATTTTGCCAGAGAGTATGTGTGCTTGCCAGAGAAAGAAAAAGAGAGAAAGTGAGAAAGCTCACCCCCGCCCCGCCATGGGGAAGGTCATGCTGCCATCCCTTCTCTATTCCTCCTCCCGGGATTTTGAGCATGCGCGCTCATGCACCCTGTGTGTTTCTCAAGCCACCAGGTCTAGGACTCGACCACACAGTCGGTTAGGCAGGATCCAGCCGCCTTAACCACCACGCCACCTGCCGGCCCTGTGGTATTCTTTTAGACATTTATTCAATAAATATTTTGTGAATCCCTGGTCTGAGTCCTGCCCTCTCCTGGGCTCCACCCAAGCAGGAGAGTATCCCACCAACTCCTCCAACATCCCAGCTCTTCTCTGTCCCTCACAGTCCACACCCAGTGTAACCGGCAGGCCCAGTTCCTGAACGTGTTCCGATCTGGCCTGTCTCTCTCTGTTACTACAGCCCTGCGATACCTCCTGCTTCCTGGTCTGCTGCCTTTCTGATTCATTCTCCACTCCTTGGCCAGAGTAAGTTTCTGAGCAAAGCACGTCATGCCCCTCCCAGAATTCCAAGAGCCTCCCCTGCCCTCCAGGAAGGAGTCCAGACTTCTGGGGACCTGCAGTCCAGTTCTGGCTGAGAGAAATATAATGCAAGCCATAGGTGTGATTTCTATTTTCTAGTAGCCACATTTTTTAAAAAAGCAAACAGGCGGGGGGGGGGGGGGGGGGGGGGGAGG